CGAGTCTCCCCTGGCCTTCCCCTCCCACGCTCGGGCCCTGCCACATGGATGTCTTGGCACTGACTGCTGTGTCCGGGTGGTTCGTCTTCTGCAGGCAACTCTGGCCCTGTGGATGATTGTCCAGGAGCCCCAGTGCCCAGGGCCTTTGATGGACTATTCCCCTCATCTCCTCGTCGATCTGCTCTTCCAAGTCTTCGACAGCACAGAGCAGACGTCAGAGGAGGTCAACACGTTCTGGAGGGGATGCCAGGAGCAGCACGACCTTCCCACCGACCCCAACAGGTGCTCCGTGCCAGTCCTCCCCTCCCTCCCATGCCCTCAGGGCTGGGGCCAGGGCTCCCAGCATGACCTGGGCTTTGCTCTGCACACAGGTTTGCAGTGCTGACCATGAAGGCCCTGCTCTGCTGTCTCCACTGGGAGGATGGGGTGAATTCAGTGGAAGACAATGGTGGCTGGGCCAGGCTCCTCAACGCTCACAGCCGCCGCTACGCAGTGGCCCTGCTGGCCAGGTGAGACCCCCTTGTCCCCGCTGCCCCTGTCCTTTCTGCCTGTGCACGGGGCACCTCCCACAGTGCCCGTGGTCGTGGGCCAGAGGGTCTTGTCACCGAGGGACGGCCGAGCAGAGTGGAGAAGGCTGGGAGAGGCGGGTGCACAGGAGGAGCCGCCTCCCAGAGTGCCCTCGTCCCCTCCTGGGCTGGTGGGGAAAGACCAGGCCTCTGTCAGTCCCTCCCGGGAGAGGTTTGCCCGCCTGGCTCAGGTCCATGATACCTTTTTCCCCTTGCCAGGGAGAAGCGCCATGTCTCCAGGCCCTTGTGTTCCCGCATCACACTCCACCTGCTGGAGCTGCTGAGCAGGGAGGAGCTGTGCTGGGACCTGCCTGCCATGGCATTCCTTGTGGAGGTGAGCCTGCTGGCGAGCGCTGCCTCGCCCAGCTGCCTCCACCTCTCTGCCCTCTGCCAGCCGCAGCTGCCGGGACGGTGCTGCGCCCTGGGCTGCTGCCTGGGCCCAGCCCTGTGCGGGTCCGGGCTCCTGCCGGCTGGGCACCCCGTCACTGCTCCGTGCCTTTCAGGTCCTGGACTGCCTGGACACCAAAGAATGCGGTGACAGGGTCCTGGAGACGCTCTCAAGGAACTTGGGGAGCACCAACAAAAAGCGGCGTCAACTGGCGCTCAGAGTCGTCGTGGCACTCAGCCAGGATCCCGTGATGGTGAGAAGGGGCAGTTGGCTGAAGCCGCGCTGGAATCCTGGGGCAGTCGCTTGGGCTTGGCTGGGCTTCGGGAGCGGTGGCAGCTGCTCCCAACTCTGCTGCTTCCCCGTTCAGCTGCCCGAGTCCCTCGGGACAGGCCTTTGGCCTCCGGGCCACGCGGCAGCACGTGGGGCTGCCCCGTTGGAGCGGGATTGGTGGTGCAGCCGTTCGTGGCTTCACGGCACAGCATTGTGTTCCTCACAGGCCGAGAGCATCTGGAGCCTGAGTGAAAGGCTCGTGCAGCTCCTGGGGGATGCAGACAGAGATGTGGTTTGGATGACCCTCTCTGTGCTCGACCATGTGCTCTGGACCAGTCTCTGGACACGGCGCCACGAGAGAGTCCGCAGCAAAGACCCCCTAATATCCACCCCCACCGGCCTGCAGTTGGCTGAGGCGCTCCGGCCACTCTTTGACCACGTAAGGCTCTGTGCCCCCCCCGCCACGGGCTCTGGGTACTGCTGGGAAACTTTGGTCCCTGGGGATTTTCAGGCCTGTGCCCAGTGGGGCCTGGAGAAGCTGCTGCTGAGCTCTTTTCCTCTTTCTTTCCGCCAGGACGACAGCAGTGTGCGGCAGGGCTCCATGGTCCTCTTCTCTCGTGTGATCAAAGTGATCGAGAGAGAGGGAAAGAGGCCCCTGAAGCCACTCGTGTGCCTGAGCCTGCTGCCGCTCTACTTCCACCGGCACGACGAGAAGGTGCTCGTGAAAAGGGTGAGGACTCGTGGGCTCTGGTGTCCCGTGGGAGGGGGCTGGGCCGCCTCCTGGCCTGGCACCCCCCGGGCTCCAGCCTCCTCCTGGCCTTGGTCCAGGGACAGGGGTCCCGTGCCCTGGGCTGCGCTGCCATGTCCTGGTCTCTGTTGCTCTGCAGGCCTCTCAGGGAGCACTGCTGGCTGTGACCAGGTTCCTGAAGAGGAGGGATCTTGGGCACCTGGTGAACACAGAGGAGCCATGGAGCTTTGGCGAGTGCCTGGTAAGGACGGCCCCAAAGCCCCAGTCCCCCATGCCCAGAGTGTGGGGCTGGCACTGTGCCCCTGCCCACTGCTGCACCCGCCTGTGGGACAGCAGCCTGTGCCCCACACGCTGCTGCCTTCCCTGGGGCGTGCAGGCTCCTCTGCGGGCTCCTCTGCCCCCGAGCCAGGGTGCCGCTGGAGCCCCGGCCCAGCTGGGCTCTGGGGCAGGGCAGTCCCGCCGCTCCCAGGGAGCAGCCAGCCCTCTGCTCCCTCCAAAGCCCGGCCCCAGCGGCTGCTGCCCGGGCCTCAGGGCTGTGCGGGCAGGGGAGGCCAGTGCTGGGCGCAGGCAGCGCCCGGCCAAGGGACAGAGCCCCAGCCAACCCTTCCCTCCATGCCCTGCCGCTCTCTCCAGCTGAAAAAGGACCGAAGACGAGTGGCCAAGTACATGCACCAGGCCCTGCCGTACCTGCGGAGCCCACAGCAGCCCCTGCGAGAGGCAGCCGTCAAGTTCATGGGTGAGCCACAAGGCCGCGGTCCCTCCCCACCCCGCTGCAGCTCGGGCCCAGCCCCGGCTGCTGCAGCGGCAGCAGCATCCGGCCCAGGGATGTGCTGTGGAGTGCCCCGGCGGCTGCTGCTGCCCCGTGCCAGCCCAGCCCTGGGGCACCGCAAGGCAGGAAGGCCCCGGGCTCAACCCTGCCAGGGCAGGAGGGCGTGTGGCCGGGCTGGCAGCGCCGCTGGGGGGGCAGCTGTGCCGCTGGGGCCGTGACAGGATCTGTCTTCCCAGGGATCGCCGGGGGGTACCTGAGGGGACAGCCCAATGAGCTGCAGCTCATCATCGATGGTGAGTGAGGGCACTGGGGGCTGCTGGAGGAGCACAGACCCTGGGCAGGCAGCTGCAATCCTGCCCTGGCTGCGCAGGGCTCTGCTCCCTGCAGGGATGAGGGGTGGCGTGGGCAGAGCAGAGAGACATTTCAGGGCCACGGGGGGTATTGCTGGCCAGCGCCTTCTGCCTGATCCTGCTGGGCCCTGCTCCCTCCTGGCAATGGCAAGAGCTTGGTGGCATGGCCCAGGCAGGAGGGGCTCCTCGCGTCACCACCGATCCGGGCTCTGACCTTGGCTCTGTTCCTCTCTCTTCCAGCCCTTCAAGCCATCACAGACGACAGCAGCCCCACTGTCTCAAGCCTGGCGCTTGAAATCATCCGCTTTGTCGGAAACGTCCAGACAGCTCCCTACCCCAGGTTCCAGCAGCTCCGAGACCAGCTCTGCGGGGCGTGGAACAGCCGGCCTTCTCTGTGGGGCTGAGTCTGCCTGTGCTGCTGCAGCTGTGTGCAGAGTTGATGCAGGCAGCTCTGTCTGTTGGGGCCACCCGAGCCTGTGGGGAAGACACCTCTTCTCTGCAAGCCCTTCCTTTTACCCCAGCGTAGGACTATTCAATAAATATTGTCCCACCCAGAGGCCCAGGAGCTTCTTTTGGGTGCCCGGTGTCCACAGGGCATCGGGGAAGAGGGGAAAAAGGGCCCTTGTGCTCAGCAACACTTGCCCGGCTGTGCGGTGGGGAAGAGCAAGTGCCCAAAAGGCCCTTGGCCTTGGGGGGTTCTGCTGGAGCCTCAACACTTGGGGCAGAGTGGATGGGCAGAGCCTGGAGCTGTGGGAATCCCTGAGAAGCTGGTCCTTGGAGGTGGCCACAAGCCCTGTCCCGGGCAGGAAGCAGCATCTGTGGCCTGCCCGTGTGTTGCTGTCTGGATTGCTGAGGGCTGGGAGGTGCCTCTGGAGCCGGTTCCTCTGGAGCTCCTTCAGGGCTGCGCCGCCGCCGGGCAGGTTGGCGGGGCTGGGGGAGACCCTGAGGGGACGGGGCGCTGGGAGGCCCTGAAGGGATGAGGTGCTGCGGAGGCCCTGCCGGGACAAGGGAGTGGGAAGCCTTGAGGGGAATCCAGGAGGGGCTGGGTGGCAGGAGGCTGCGAGGGGACAGGATGGGCAGAGGAGGCCCTGAGGGGACAGGATGTGAGAAGCCCTGAGGAACTGGGGGGGTAGAGGCCATAAGCAGACCCCAATGCAGCCCCCCGGTTCCCTGCCAGCCGGCAGCTCTGGCGCCTGCCCGGGGCATCTCCCATCTCTGCGGCAGAAGCCCTGGATCCTGGCCAGGAGGGTGGGGACACCCCCAAGGGGGCCAGGCTGGCCTGGCTGGGGACAAGGAGGAGAAGGGGGCCCTGCTGGGGCGCGTCCGCCGGGTGCTGCCGGCGAGGGGCAGGGGCACAGGCAGGGCTGTGGGCCAGCCCAGGCCCCCTGCGGCTGCCCAGCCCACGGGGCTGTGGCCCAGAGCCCGCTGACCCAGAGCTCTGGGCCCGCAGAGCTGCTGCCAGCACGGGGAGGGCGCGGGGCTCCTCGGGCAGGGCTGCGCAGTCGCTGCTGCCCAAGCGGTTCCGCGCCACAGACAACAGCAGCAGGCTGTGCACAGGAGCAGCACCCACAGCGCCTGGGCCTCCTCAGTGAGGCTCCCACACCGGCCACGATGCCAAAAGCGGGGATGCTGTGGGCACAGTCGCACGTGCTTTGGCCAAAGGCTTCAGGAAAAGTGGCCACAGCGGCTTTCTATTGACTGCCCAGCCTCACAGCAACACTGGGCAGCTTCGGGGGCAGCCTGTCATCCTGACTGACTTCCACGGCCGTGCCTGAGGGCAGACTCACCTTCCACACTCAGGCATCCCAAGGCACTGGCACTGGGGCCAGCCTTAGAGACTGGGATGGGACATGAGCCTTGGGCTGCAGCTGCTGAACCTCTCCTCCAGGCAGGCACCTTAAAAACACAGGCGTGGGCTTCTAAACTCCAAATCCAGGCCTTCCTGGAAGGGAAGGAAGAAGCACCAGAAGCTGAAGCCGGGCCTCATACCATGAGGTTCAGGCATGGAGGGAAGTCAGCACTGTGGGCTCTGCTGCAAAAATGGCCCAGGTCACAAGCTCAGGTTTTGCTGCTAGAGGATCCTACTGTGGCCTTGCTGGAGCCCATTCCCTACCAATGCATGGCCCTTCATTGCTCTTGGATCAAGTGTTCTGGACCTGTGGGAACACAGGTGCCCCGTGTCCATGCGAGAGCAGCAACTGGCAGAACACGTCTGCTTCCAGCATTTGTCTTGGCTGCTCCTTCAGTGGGCTGGCACCTTAATCAGAGACACGGAACAGGTTTGCATCCCAGAGTTCTCCCTATCCCCTTCACTTCTCCCCAGTGCTCTGGATATCAGCTGGCAGTCGCAGTCGGACACACAGCACCTGGAGCTTTGAACATCAGACTGGGCAGCTTTTATTTGGCAGAATGCAAGGAAACTTGACAGGATCTCTGAGCAATCTAATCTTCCTGCGAAACTCAGCAACTGACGGTGGTTTTGTGCTGCAGGTCATCACTTCCGTGCACAAATCATTCCCGCGAGGAGAAACTGCTTCTGCCTTCTGACGGATGCCGAGCACTGCCACCAATTGCTCCGGCTACCACTCCCAACGGCCCCCTGCAAGAGCGCAGACATCAGCGCCCGTTGGCTTTGGCCGCCCTCTGGCAGAGAAGTCCCCCAGGGGCACACCTCTTTGGGACAGGAGGCGGGCACCACCCCTGCCAGGACTCGGGGCGCTGGCAGGTCTCCTTGGGCGAGGACTTGCCAGAGCTGCTGATTTTGCTGCAGCCCCGGCCAATGGGGTCAGAGCGGCATTGGTGCCCTTGCCCCCCATATTCCTTCGGTGTGTCACAGCCCCGTGTTTGGGAGGGCCACCAGCCGGGACTTCTGCCAAGGAGCCCGTGCCAGCTCCTGTGGAGGCCCCGTGCCCTTCCCGCTGCGCCCGCGTCGGCAGCCGAGGGGGCTCCTTCTGCTGCTGTGGGCAGGCACAGCAGGGGAGGCTTTGCTTAGTTTTTGAGCTGGGCCTAAAGTTCATGTCCAGCTGTCTTAGATACTTTGGAGAACGGGCTCCTTCCGACCTGGGGCAGGTTGGCCGGGCGGGGGGAGGCCCCAGGGCACGCGGCAGTGTGTCACAGGGCCCTTTGTGACACGGCGGGCATCGCCGATGGCGTGCAACGGGGCAGGGTGTCACAGGGCCCTTTGTGACACGTCATGACATAGTACCGGTGGTGACGTGGCCACGCCTCAGTGCTCCTCGGAGCGTGCGACGGGAGAGACGGGATAGAGCGGTGCTGTGCGGAGCCCCCGTGCAGCCAACTCCTTCCTCCTGACCCGGAGCGTTTTGGAGGCTTTTCTGTGGTGCGAGCGTCCTTGAGGCCAGACCGCGGGACTTGGTGACACGGAGCTTTGGCGAGGTGTCTCCAATCCCTGCGGCCAGTGCCCTTGAGGCCACACCGCAGGACTTGAGAACCCCTACCCTTTCCCAGGGTTTTCTCCCTTTTAGTTGCCCTTGAGGCCAGACCGCAGGACTGGTGACCCGGAAATTTTCCGAGGAGTCTCCAATCCCTGCGGCAGGTGGCCTCCAGGGCAGCCTGCAGGACTTGGGGACGCAGAGATCTTCCGAGGTGTCTCCCTCTTGCAGGTGCCCTCAAGGCCAGACTGTGGGATGGCGGGAAGACGCCTGAGCCTGCACAGGCTCTTCCGCGAGAAGAGGGTTAGCCCTGCGACCGACCCAACACAGCAGCCTGAAGAGGCGGAGCAGTTCCAGCCCCTGCAGGAGGGTGAGTGGCAGAGCTGGGCCGCAGGGCTGGTGGCTGCCGCCAGATGGGCCTCTTCCCATCCCATCCCCTGTGGACATGGTCAGGGAAAGGCAGGGGGGGAAGAGGGGCTGGGACTGGTCTCCCGGCAGCTCCAGGCGCTGGGCATCCTGGGACCGGCCCTGCCTGTGGAGCGCAGGACTGGGCTTGTGTTCTCCGGCCTGTCCCGCAGCCCCTCAGCTCTGACCGCGCTCGCTCTTTGCCAGATCCAGGCCGGCAGCAGACACAAGAGCAGGACCGTGCCCGGGGCCGCTTCCGCAGGGCAGCACAGGTACTTGCAGCCATGGCCACCTGGGCTGGGCCTGCTCTCACTGTTTAGCCTGGCACTGCTGGCGGAGCTCTCCATGGCACATCCCTCTCTTCCCTGCTCTTCCTTCTCCTGCAGGCCTTTCTGAAATTCGTTCCCGTTCGGCGAAGAAAGTACAGGGTCACACCAATTGAGGACACGGCGCAGCCTGACCCCACGCCGAGCGAGCTCCAGGTTGACCCCGATGTCGGCACCGCGTCGACCGATGGCCCAGCAAACCGTGACACCGCGGTGACCGACGACACGACAACCTCCAACGCCGCGCCGCCTGAGCTCACCCCGCAGGCTGACGGTGCAACGACTGAGGGCATCGCAGACGCTGACAGAACACCCGTTCAGCACCTGCCCGATGATCCCAGTCTGGAGGTTCTTGAAGAGGAAGTGATCTCTCTGGAAGTAAGCAGCCTGTGGGCAGGGACAGTCTGGCCCCTCAAGTCAGGTCTGCTGGGCCCCCTAAGCCTTTGAGGCCCTCTCCTGGCCAGACTGTGGGACTTGATGACCTGCAGCGTTCCGAGCACTCCTCTACTGCAAATGCCTTCAAGGCACCTGTGCAGGATTTGGTCCCCCACACATTTCCACGCCATGTCTCCCGCAGGTAGCCATGGAGCCAGGCAGAGGCATGGAGCAGAGACCCCCCTGGGTTTGCAAGCTGGCCTGGGTGAAGAAGGAGGAGAAGGAGAAAAGCCCTAGGCCTGCCCCAGCACAACACCCTGAGGAGGCGGAGCAGTTCCAGCCCCTGCAGGAGGGTGAGTGGCAGAGCTGGGCCACAGGGCTGGTGGCTGCAGCCAGATGGGCCTCTTCCCATCCCATCCCATCCCATCCCATCCCATCCCATCCCATCCCATCCTATCCCATCCCATCCCATCCCATCTCCTGTGGACATGGCCAGGGAAAGGAATGGGGGAAGAGGGCCCGGGGCTGATCCCCCAGCAGCTCCAGGCACTGGGCATCCTGGGGCCGGCCCTGCCTCTGGAGGGCAGGGCTGGGCTGTGTTCTCCGGCCTGTCCCCCAGCCCCTCAGCTCTGACCGCGCTCGCTCTTTGCCAGATCCAGGCCGGCACCGGACACAAGAGCAGGGCCGCGCCCGGGGCCGCTTCCGCAGAGCTCATCAGGTACTTGCAGCCATCCCCCCCTGGGCTGGGCCTGCTCTCACTGCTCAGCCTGGCACCGCTGGCGGAGCTCTCCATGGCACATCCCTCTCTTCCCTGCCCTTTGTTCTCCCGCAGAGGGTGCGGAAATCTGCTCCCGTTCGGCGTAGAAAGGCCGGGACCTCAACAACCAATGTCGTGGCACAGCCTGAGCCCAACCCCACCGAGCTCAAGGCCAAGGCTGACGCCCCAGGGACTGAGGGCATCGCAGACGCGGACAGCACACCCGTTCAGCGCCTGCCCGATGCTCCCAGTCTGCATGTTCCTCAGGAGAGAGTTGTCTCTGCTCAAGTAAGCAGCCTGTGGGCAGGGATTGTGTGGGCCCTCAAGCTTGTTCCGCTGGGCCCCCTCAGCCTTTCAGGCCGGCACAGTGTAGTGGGAGGGGAAGCACTTCTCGGCGGAAGCCGGGAAATTGCTCCCTCTGGCAGCTCTCCAACTCTCCCCTGTGTCCCCTCCAGGTGCCACCTCTGGTGAGGTCCATCCACTCGTGGCTGACCTCCAATGTGTCTGCTGGGCACGTGCTGGATAAGACCCTTCTGGCACTGACCGAGGCACACCCCGTGGATGTCACCATCACCCTCCTGCGCTGTGCTCCCTCATGTGACAGGTACGGGCCCCAGCTGCCTTGAGGGCTCCGGGCTCACCATCATCCCCCTGCCCCTGAAAGCACTGTGGCTCTGTCACTCGGCCCCTGCAGCTGCCCACGTCAGGGCACTGTGGTCCAGATCCCCCTGACGCAGAGCTCTGACTCCACAGAGCTGCTGCAACCATGTGGAGGACCATAGCCTCATCGGGAACCACGCTGCGGAAGGTGCTGCCAACACTGCTCTGCGTGATGGAGGACTGGCCGTGGTACTACACACGCACCTC